ATCATAAAAGTGCACCTCAGCATTTCCACATGTAAGGCAAATAGATATCATGAATCGCTTTAAGTTGCATTTGTAATTACTGCATATGTCACTAGACCAAAGCAATGATCCCACAATACCAGAAATTAATTCCAATCCAACAGCAAACTACATCTCATTCCAAATTATCTACAGAAAACGGAGTTAAGTTTGTACCTTCAAAGGCTCCCTTTCATTTTTTCGCAACTAATATGCTAATACATTAATTTACCATCGTAAACTATTAAATCGTTATTCTATGTTCATTAACACACGTACCACAAGGATAATTAGTTAATTGTTTGTTCGGCTTTAAATATATTATCTAACAGTAAGCAACCAGGCGCTACATTCAAATTTTGAATATAACTTCAACTAGAAAATCCACATTGAAGTGACTATTGCTCCTACAAACCCCTATGACACCAACACACAATTCTTATGCAGACTCCAAACACACAAGAGCAGGTTAAAAGGGTGAAAACTAGATAAAATCAAACTGACTTGCTGTTGATAAATCTGACCGTAAACAGTCGGATGCAATATTTGTAATTTAAACATAACTTCAAATAGAAAACACATATAGAAGTTATTCCTACTCCAATATGGTCTGAAGAGACACATCTAAAACTATTGAGTAGATTCTTAGAGACAAGTATGTTCAAAGGACGAAAACCAAACCTAAGTAGAACATCCCTGCAGTTGAAAAACCTGAGCAGTCACCTATGCGCAGTCCATGTATAATGACAATAAGTTTTACTAGAGAATACATTTAGGGAATAATTTTTTAAATTATGGAAAAGAAAGATATAAGGTCACAACTCTGTGAAATCTTCAATGAAAATACTTCAACTCTCAGCAGCAATACTGCTGTCAAATTGACAGAAAACAGCATGCATAGTGTTTGTACTTTGAGTATAATTATTTAATAGAAAATGGGTATTGAACTAATTCTTGCTCATACAAATCTCCAAGATACATATCGACAACTTTGGTGAAGATCGAAACACAACGAGTATTTTAGAAAGGTGTATAAGACAGAAAACAATATGCTAAGTTGTTGCAAAACTGGACAAAAATTATCATGCATAGCTCGTGTATTTTAAAGATAACTTTTAGCCGAACATAGATAATTAACTGATTCTGAAACTTATGAGAAGATAAGGTGCATAGCTACGACTCTTATAAATACATTGAATACTTACGAGCAAGTTAAGAGGATCAAAAAGGGTTCAAAAGACATCAGCAGTACAACAACAACAACAAAGCCTTTTGATCCCAAACAAGTTGGGGTAGGTAGGCTAGATATGAAACCCAAGAGAAACAGTGGTAAGAGAAACACAAAAAAAGGGCACAAAACAAAACAAAACAAAACTCAAAACAAAAACAAAACAAAAGGAAGAGATTAGAGCAAAAGAGAAAGGAGCAAAAGTCACGGTTCCAGCACGTTGATCGCTAGCCTCCAAGCGCTCCTATCCACCGCTAAATTCTTGGAGATATTCCAATTTTTAAAGTCTCTCTGAACCGACTCTTCCCAAGTGAGTTTAGTCCGACCTCTACCTCTCTTAATATCATCGACCCGCTGTAGAACTCTCCTACGCACTGGTGCATCAGGAGGCCTCCGTTGGACATGTCCGAACCACCTAAGCCGATGTTGGACCAATTTCTCTTCAATTGGAGTCACCCCGACCCTATCTCGAATATCCTCATTCCGGATTCTATCCCTTCTTGTGTGCCCGCAAAACCAACGCAACATACGCATCTCTTCTACACTTAGTTGTTGGACATGTTACATTTTTGTAGGCCAACATTCAGCACCGTATAGCATCCCGGGTGAATCACCGTCCTGTAGAACTTACCTTTTAGACTTTGTGGCACCCTCTTATCACAGAGAACGCCCGAAGCTTGACGTCATTTCAACCAACCGGCTGCAATTCTATGCCTAACATCTTCATCAATGCCGCCATCCTTTTGTAGCATCGATCCTAAATACCAGAAAGTCTCCTTCTTGGCCACCACTTTCCCGTCAAGGCTAACGTCACCATCACCGTGAGTAGCCATGCTGAAAGCGCACGTCATGTACTCGGTCTTCGTCGTACTAAGTTTGAAGTCTTTCGACTCTAGCGTGTCCTTCCACAGCTCTAACTTCTTATTTACCCCTGCCCTACTCTCGTCAACTAGCACCACATCATCAGCAAAGAGCATATACCAAGGGATATCACCTTGTATGTCCCTTGTGGCCTCATCCATCACCAAGGCAATAAATAAGGGCTCATTGCTGGCCCCTAGTATAGTCCTATTTTAATTGTGAAGTCGCTGGTATCGCCCCCACATGTTCGGACACACGTCATCGCATCCTTGTACATATCCTTGATGAGGGTAATGTACTTAGATGGGACTTTGTGCTTTTCTAAGGCCCACCACATGACATTTCTCGGTACTCTGTCATAAGCCTTCTCAAGGTCGATAAAGACCATGTGCAAGTCCTTCTTTTGGTCCCTATATCCTATAAAAGACAGCAGCAGTAGTGCTGCCAAATTGACAGAAACAGCTAGCGCATTGTTTGTATTTCGAACATAAATTTTGATAGAAAATAGATACCGAAGTCATTCTTGTTCCTATAAATTCCCAATAAAAACCACTACGACTTTTATGAAGATAGTAGAAGTAGAAGAGGTTGCTAGGTAAGTGAAAAAAGTATCACAAACGGGCAGACAACACATAACAATGTTTGACAGAAAATAGACCAGCACAGTGATCGTATTTTGAACATAACATTTTATATAAGATAGATTATGGGCAAACTCTTGCTCCTACAGAAAAACAAGAGACTGAACTTCAGATTATGTGAAGACATCAAAAACAGACCATCAAGTTACGAGGGTCAAAACATCATACAATCGCACGGACAGCTTACAGCGAGATATATTGGTTATATGACTTTGCCTGCATAACCAGATGGTTTATGACAATGAAGGAACACAACTAGTTGATACCGAACGCACAAAGAATGCACATGATAGAGAACTTCAAAAATACATAATTAAGTAAAATAGTGCAGAGACTAAAAAAGAGCATGGATGAGAAGATAAATTCATACCTGCATGTTTTTTCACTCGGTGGAGATCATCATTTTAAGCTTAACCCATTCGCTTCGCTAGGTTCATTAGTTTCCTCATCAGCAACACTTTATTAGTCATTTAACCCAATAGACATTCACTATGCTCCTCCCCAGCATCAAAACCTACTGCAAACCTTGATATTGTCAAATCAGGAAAATAAATTACCATAACATACAGAGTTTGATTAGATGATATGCATGCAGACATCTTAAGAAACAACACAATATTGCCACAACTATGAGGCTATGACCTATCTAATAATGCTTGGAAGCACTATGTTCTAGCACAAATCAAACAGAAAATGAAAGATAAATGAAAAGATGGACTTTTTTGTGATGACAATCAACCGAGACCACGAAAAAATCGATTGAACAATATACTAGACCCGGTTAACTTATACTTGAAACTCTCCACCACATAATATCATCATGATCTAGATTAGTCCATTCCCCATTGAAGAAACTTTAATAAACTCAAGCAATGTTCATACATTTTCCGTTCCGATATTCAAATTTAAATTGTCGAAAGAACAAAACCCCAGCTCCCAATTTAAATTGTCAAAATTCACAAGATAATTAGCTTCACAATTAAATCAATACAGGATCAAAACCCACAATTTCCTCCATAAACTCTTCTAAAACCCTGAGAAAATGTGTAACTTTGTATAACCTAATGCACACGTAAAGCAAACAATTCAACACATCGAGAAGAACGCTGAAGCTATTGAATCACCAAAATTGAAAAAAAAAAATAAAAAAAAATAGTAATAATAAATAAAGAGAGAGAGAGAGAGAGAGAGAGAGAGGGCTCAACCGTGACGGAAGCCTAGGAGAGCCATGAGCTATGATCATTTCGTACCCAAGCTCCATATAGAGGACCCCGGTTTTGCCATTTGTAGTGAGGTGAGTTGAACGATTAGCTCTGTTGAGTATAGGTTGTTGTGTACAATATTCACGAATCCGTTGTAGTCTAGGTGGTTAGGATACTCGGCTCTCACCCGAGAGACCCGGGTTCAAGTCCCGGCAACGGAACTTTTTTTACTATTTACGACTCTAACTCGCATTTTTTATTCTCCTCTTTCGGTCTCTGTGCGTCAAAAATGTATTCATTAATTTTTTTTTCACTGTATAAATTAAAAATAACTAGTACAATATCCGTGTATTAAACGGGAGCTAAAATTATCCTTAAATTTTAAAATTAATGAAAAAACTTATTTTAAATTTTAAATAAAATATATATTATTATATATTTTAGACGAATAATACTTGTTATTTGTGTGATTTACATGTGTTATATATTAATTGATAAGCAATTTTATTTTTCTATTTAATATTAAAACAATTTTATTATTGTTATAAAGAGATACATACAATATAGATGCTAAATCGAAGTTTATCAAAAGATGATTAATTTGATATATTATATATGTAAAATTGATAAAAAAAAATTACAAAAGTAATTAAATTTCAAAATATAATTACAATTCAATGGTCATAATAAAAAATGATATTAAAATACAATTAATACATGTAACATAACCATAAATAATCAGTATATTTATGGACAATCCGGACCTAATTATTTTTGAACTGGAAGTAAATTATATTATACTAAAGCATGTAATGTTGTCACATAAGATCCCGAAGCATGCGATTCTGTCACTTAAACTCAGCACGTTGTGAATTAACATATAGAGAGATAATAACAAAAACAAATCCAATCTAAAGAGTCATGTGTGGTGCATAACTAATTTAACAGTTCTGAAAAAAAGAAAA